TTGGTCGTTGGATTGTTTCGACGAACGAATATCCTCTTCGAGATCAGTTATTTTTTGATGTTGCTCTGCTAGTTGACCTTCAAGACTAGCAATCACTCGTTGTTGTTCATCGATCTGATCCTTAGAGGAACGAATGGTTTCTTCGAGAGTAGATATCATTTGTTGCTGTTCTGCTTGTTGACCTGTAGATTGTTCCGATGAACGAATATTGTCTTCAAGAGTAGTGATTTTTTGTTGTTGTTCTGCTAGTTGATCTTCGGAAGACCGTAGACTTTTCTCTAAGTTAACAGTTTGTTCCTCTCGTTCTAATAATTGTTCCTTCAATTGATCAAAAGAAAGAAGACTTTCTTTGAGTTTAAGAACTTCTTGTTGTTGTTCATGTAACTGTTCTTCAGTAGAACGAACATTTTCTTCAAGACTAACAATTTGTCGTCTTTCTTCAGCTAGTTGATCTTTTAATTGTTCATATGTCTGTAGATTTTCTCGAAGATTAATAATTTCATGTCGTTGTTCTTCATTTTCTTTTGATAATTGAGCAAGTTCATCTTCGACTTGTTCTTTATTGATCGATTGTTTTAATTCAATATTTTCTTGTTCATATGATTGTTTTTCATTTTGAAGATTTTCAATAGTATTTTGTAACACATTTAGTTTATTCAGTAAATCTTGTTTAACATTCTATATAAAATAAATAGTATATATTAGCAAAAAAAGTAAGATTGAATATAACTATAACTACCAATAATTCATCTTGTAAATTTTTACATGATTCTTTTAATGAATCATTTTGTAATGTTAAACATTCAGATGATTCACGAGTTGTCTATAAAGAATAGATTAAAAGAGAGAACAACAATTAGAAATGATATTTTTCTACATTAAGTTCTTGTTGAAGTTTTGCTTCTTTGATTTTATATTGATCAAGTTCTTCAGTTAAGTTTTTCGTTTTTATTTGTTCATCTTCGAGTTCATTACGAATTTGCTAGAAAAAGATGATAATAATTATAATAGAAATATATCGTTTCCAATTTATATAATAACCTCTTCTGTTTGGCATAATGATACGTTAGCAGTAGATAATTCACTTATTTTTGCATCCAATTTTTTCTTCACTGCAACTTGACTTTTGAACAATTTTAGCACTTCTTCTTTTGACAAAGAATCAAACTGAAATATGAAAACAATAAATATTTGTTTTTTGAAAATGTTATTATTAGATGAACCTTGCTACTTGGTGCCGACTTTTCATCATTTGCCTGCTTGCCATCATCACTCATTGTTGTTTCTTTAAGTGAAATTAATTCAATTCAAATATAGAAAATCAACAACAGATCATCTGAAAAATAAAATGAAGGTTGAAATTCTTTTTTGGTATAAATTAAAATAAAACTATTATTTATATCAGACAATATTAAAAAATATTTATATGATGGTAGAAATAATATAAGAATTAGTTATAGACATTTAAAGCTGATACATACACATTTTCTTCTATGAAATCACATTTTCTTTATCTTAAATTTTACACTCATATCATACTATTTAACGCAGCAAGATATTTCCATGTATGTATGTATGTATCAGTTGATCACTATACTCAGTTGATATATGAACATATTAGTTAAATCACACGATAAAAAAGCACCAAAAACCACTCAGTTATTTCCATCTACTTGATTGAAAATAAAGCATAAACACATATGAAATGCAAGAAGAAAACAATATTTATCACATTAAAATTGATTGGAAAAAAAAATCATTACTCTACATTGTCATCTTGACTAGAATCATCTGATTCTGAGTTATTATCAGCAATATCATTCTCTTCATTGTATGAAGTTACATCAATACAACGTCCAACTTTGATAAATTCTAAACCCTATAACAAAAAGCATTGTTTTTTCTCTTCATTTTCTTTTTCTTTCAAACATACTTTCCAATGTTTTGGTTTATCAACTAATGGATTTTCTCTTAAATCTACTTTCGTCATATTTGAAAACATCATTAACGTATCATCATTAACTTCTGCAATAGCATTTCGTTGTAGACAAATAATATTTAATGATGAAATTTTTCCAATAACAGATGGTATATGAACGATATGATTTCCATTTAAATTTAAATATGATAAATTTACACAATCTTGTAGACAATCTGGTAAATCATTTAACTCATTATCTTCAATACATAACCAACGTAATTCTAATAAATGACCTATATCACTCGGTAATCGTCGTAAATGATTTGATTTTAATGATAATTTTTCTAATAGATTTAAATTAACAAATATATTCAATGGTATATCATACAAATTTATATTTGTTAACCATAATTCATGTAGATTTTTCAATTGACCTAAATCAGATGATATTTGACCAAGTGGATTATGACTAAGATTTAAACGTATTAAAGATATTATATGCCATAATGTATCTGGTAAAATTGTTAATTGATTCTGTTCTAATGAAAGTGTTTCTAAATTATTTAATAATGCTAATTGTTCACTAGGTGGAATAATAAGTTCATTATTATTTAAATAGAGATTTTGAAGATGTGTACACAAACTAACAGAAAATGGTACAGCACGTAAAGAACGATTACTTAAATTTAAACTTGTTTCTTTTGTATCGATTATATGTTGAATATATTTTTCAATATCATCATTATCCATTTTCTTTTCTAATTATAAATATCAGATCTTGGCAATTAAAATTACAATGGAATCTATGAATAATGTCAATGCTGTGCTTGTAAAGATATCAGTAGTTTTAACAGAACACAATTGAGTTTATAAAAACAATATTGAAGGTCTTGAAGAGTAAATTTAACGGTGCGCAACACGACATCAGTGACAAACGAGTAAAAAATGGATTGTTTTCATCCTCAAATGACGATAGTACTACAAAATAGATGGCGACACATTTTGTTATTCATACTAGTTAAATTGCAAGAGAAAAAATGGTAATTTGAAGTATTAACTGATTTAACATTTCTAATCTCTTCTTGTTGATAGATTTGAATTGATTAGTAAAACGACTGAAACAAAATAAAAATAGTGAGCACTGGTGACATATTACAATTATGTGCAAACTATCTATTGTATATGTTGCGTGTCACTACTCTAGGTTACTGAGACTCATTAGACGAACTGCTTGAATTAAATGAAAATTTCAGTCTAATCGTTGTTTACAATCATTCTCTTTATTCATTCAATTTTAGATGTCATGATAAACACAATTAAACTAGTTGAATTTTTATTAAATAAATAATAATAAGTTAAAACTAAAAACAATACAGATATGTTCACATTTATATTCGTGGATTTGATTTTTGCTTCTTTCGTTTATCACTATGACGTCGATTTTTAAACCATTGCTATAAAATAGAATACAAATTTTAACTACAATCGATTAAAAAGAAAATAATTTACACGAATTTTATCAACAGATACTTTTAGTTGTTCAGATAATTGTTGGAGAATATCAATAGATGGATATGCATTTTGTATGTAGATTTGATGAAGTATTTCAAGTTCATTCTTCTTAAAACATTTATGTTGACGAAGTGGTGTTCGATCAGCAATATCAAAAGTAGTAGTAGTAGTAGCTTTGAAAACAAAAAACAGATGCAGTTATTAATCATTAAAGAAATAGAATCTGATACATACGTTGTTCAACAGAAGGAAAGAATGTTTGTATTTGTTGTCGATAATGTGAATATGTAGGGGAAGATGTATTAATTGACTGTGTTGGAGATGAATAGATTGGATAAGACGAATGAATAGGACAAGGAGTAGATGATGAATAATAATATGTAGATATTAATGGTGAAGAATATTCGAAAGGATAATCATTGGAGAAAGATGAAATATAGCTGTTGTTCATGATGATTGAGTAAATATGAAAGCTGTGAATGTGACAATATTCAAATGTATATTTGTTTTTATACTCTGTACATTTTGTTCTGTATTAAAATTGAATATATGACGAAATATCATTTTTTAAAGAATGTACTGTTTATTAATAGTCTTAATTGACACATATTAGCAATAGAATTTTAATCATTATCAGCATATATATTCATAATGTGATATCAATAATTAGTCTATATATTAAAATGGTTTATTTATAGAAAAATAAATAATTTTCGTGAGAACAAAAATAATTAGAATTATATTAATAAGAAAGTAGAACATGTGAATATGAAATTATATAGATTCGGATTTTTTTCATTTCATTAACAGAATATATTGGTAAATAGACTGATTATCTAAGGATGTTATAGCATTATAGATCTTTGGATTGTTCGAACGAACGAATATATTCTTCGAGAGTATTGATTTTTTGCTGTTGTTCTACTATTTGATCTTCGGAGGAACGTAGAGCTTTTCTTAAGAGAACAATTTGTTACTATAGTTCTAATAATTGTTTGTTCAATTCATCAAAAAAAGAAGGCTTTCTTTGAGTCTAAGAATTTCTTGTTCTTGTTCTTCTGATAATTGAGCCACTACGTATGACTTGTCTCATCCTGTTTCACAGATGTCCTCTTGTCTTTTTGATAATGTGGGTGATAGTGCAGGTGTGTGTTCTCTCTTCACGCTCATACCACCCACACCTACAAGCACATTTATTTTATATGATCCTCTCCACAGTCAAGAAAATGAATTAAGTACTTGATAGTTAAAAATAATATAGAAATCAGTTGAGAAATAAAATATTTACTTTATTCAAGTGAAAATGTCTAAAGAACAAAAACTGATGTGACTATGATGTTTGGACATTGTTAACGACAACTGTCAAGTCATTTGTTTGGACAGCAATAGGCTTTGCCATTTTCAGCAAAGGTGCACAGTCCATTATTTTTCTTACAACTACGTTGATTTTGTTCGCAAGAAATTGTCAAAGCTTTACCAAATTGGCATGGATTACATTGACAATTGTGACACCCATTAACATCTGGAATGACATAACCATATTTGCAATACCTCTTGCAGAAAAGATCCGAACATGTCGACAGTTTTCTTTCTTGAGCAACTACCACTGTACCAAGATAAAATAATAACGTAAAAACGACAAATAGTTTCACCATACTAAAATAGTGTATACATGTAGAAATCGTTTTATATAAGATTGCTTACGTTCTTCTTTTTTCGTTAACAATATTGTATGATGGTGAAATGTGTTTTCGTTCTTATTTTTATCGAAATATCGATGTTTGAAAATAAAAAGAAAAGTAACCATAACACATATCATATTTCAGTGGGAAATTTGACGATGTATAAAATTACAATTAATCTCTCTCTTTCGTATGAATAATATATGAAACAAACGAATTATATGAATCATAGATTTCGAATTAAAACTGTTTTAAATATTCTGACTTTTCTTATGTAATCTATATTTTTCATCATTATTATTTTATAAATTAGTAAATATAATATACATTGAAAAAAGTGTCGAGAACTATTTCCCAATACCTCAATACGGTATTGATTGTCTCATATTTAGATGAATCAGATGTTTGTTGGGTGTGGGTGTTCATGCCTATAATCTCAGAATATACACCCACACCCACACCCTCAAGATATATGATTTTAAAATAGGAAGAAAAAACAATGGAAAACATCATTTTATGTGTTACGACCTGTCTCTCGAGTGAGGTCATAGACTTACTCCACCTACAGTATCTCTTCGTTTCTCTACCTACATCTCTTCTGAATATGGCTCGGGGTGATCCTACTATTTTAGGGTTCATGATCGATCTCTCATCTCTCTCCGTGTTATCCACGATCATTGTTTTCTTTGTACATCTCATACCATGATCGAGCAGTTGAATCGGCAGCTGCAAAGGAGGAAAAGTGGAATCCAACATAAATAATAACTAACAAGATTTTTTAATAAAAGTGAATTTTTAAGACATTTCAAATTTATTTATTTGTTTTTTGGAACGTAATTCGCTTTAGAAACAAAATAATGTTCGGAGTTACAAACTGAACGATCAACAGAATTCATATCTACTGAATTTTTTCTTATCTTTATTTTTACAAAAATCTTTTGTAAACTTTTTTTAATATATCACGTCAAATGGTGCTGTACTTTTTTCGATTGAAATCCAACATTTTTCATAGAATTGAAAAACAAAAATTTGCTCATGAATGTGAGTAGAATTGAAGTATAGGAACCGTAGTTAGCTGCCGATGTGAACAATACGGAGAGTCAAAATGTCATTTTTACTTTGAATTCAATTTAATGTCTTTTAAATATAATCATACTTTACGGACTTTATCAATTGAAATGTTCTTCTATCGAATCGAATAATTATTTCTATTCAAACGTTTTCGAGAAATTTTCATAAGCAAAATTCGATCCCATTGACTTCTCTCTCTTCAACGTGCGTATGACATGCTATTTGTAAGTACATTTTTTCCCTTTTCTTTCTTTTGTCTATGGCTAAGTCACGTTTTCATACGCTATGACCTCTTCTATACATATATATATATATATCATTTTACTACTTTTGCGTTCTGCACTTGAAAACCAGTCTAATATTTTAGCTATTAGTATATGAACAATGGTGTAGATCATTTATTTTTGTTGTAACACAGTTGAATACAAAGATACTTCAGAGAGATGAGAGTATCTAATTTTTTATTAATGTCTCTATATTATAAATTACTTTATACATATAGAAGTTATAGATAGTAAGGAAAAAAGATAATCAGATGCGCAACTCATGCGAGAAGAGAAGTGAAGAGAGCAGTTACGCATATATAGAGTGATGAAAAGCGAATAGGATGTTCTAAGCCGCATATATTCTGTGTGTTATTTTTACTAAACGATTTAATTATGTATCTTTTAGAAATAGTATATATTACACAACTAAATTTCAAATCAAGATTTACAATAAAAGAATGCCTCCACCAACGCATGGAGCGGAATATGAACGATTATTTGATTCTCGTAATAAAAAGAAGGATTGGAGTCAATGGGGTCCTTATTTGGCTGAACGACAATGGGGTACAATACGTGAAGATTATTCAGATGATGGAGAAACTTGGGATTATTTCACTCATGATCATGCTCGATCGAGAGCTTATCGATGGGGAGAGGATGGACTTTTAGGTTTTTGTGATAAACGATGTCGACTATGCTTTTCTGTGGTTTTATGGAACGCAAAAGATTCTATACTTAAAGAGAGATTATTTGGTTTAACTGGAAATGGTAAGATTTTTTAAATGATCTCTTTGTCCTATTGAATAGAAAACAAAACGAATATATTTTGTAGAAGGTAATCATGGTGAAGATGTCAAAGAACAATATTTCTATTTGGATTCGACACCAACTCATTCATATATGAAAAGTCTGTATAAATATCCTCAACAAGCATTTCCATACCAACAACTTGTCGAAGAAAACAAACGACGAACGAAAGAGGAAGGAGAATTCGAAATTCTTGATACAGAAATTTTCGATAACAACGAATATTTCGATGTTTTCGTTGAATATGCTAAAAAAGATGCTGATGATATTTTAATTCGTATTACTATTGAAAATCGAGCAAATAAAGCAGCCAATATACATTTATTACCGACAGTCTTCTTTCGAAATTCATGGAGTTGGAAAGCTAATCATGATGAAATGTAAGTAATACTTCATTTATAAACCAATATTCTCCTTTATTGAATTTATTTTATTCTAGTAATACACGACCAAAGATTGAACGACGAGATGGAGAAAATATTTTAAGATTAGACCATGAAAAACTTGGTTTATATGCTTTTGATATTAATTCGTTGGATGATGATGACGATGATCAATTACCGGAAGTTTTATTTACAGAAAATGAAACGAATTTTAAGAAATTATATGATTCAGAGAATGAATCATCTTATGTAAAAGATGCTTTTCATGAATATTTAATTGATGGAATAAAAGATGCTGTCAATCCATCATGTCAAGGAACAAAAACAGCTTTGCATTATAAATTCAATATTGAAGGTAATTCATCAAAAATATTATATTTTCGATTATATAAATTATCTGATGATGGTAATATTCCAAAAAAAATTACTCGACAACAAATGAGTGAAATATTTAATCAACGAAAACAAGAAGCTGATCTTTTTTATGAATCGATATATGAAGGGAAATTACATAAGGATGAAAAAAATATTATTCGACAAGCATATGCTGGACTTCTTAATAGTAAACAATTTTATTATTATATTGTCAAAGATTGGCTTGATGGAGAAGGAAAACATTTTATGCCAAAGTTTGATGAGAAACGTCAAGCAATTCTTAAGAATAAGGAATGGCGTCATATGTAAATAATTTCTTTTGAAAATAAACTATCGAATTTTCTTTCAAATTATAGGGCATGTCAAGATATTCTTTCTGTACCAGACAAATGGGAATATCCATGGGTTGCTGCTTGGGATTTAGCATTTCATCTTATTCCATTTGCTCATATAGACCCAGACTTTGCAAAAAGCCAACTGAAATTAATAATGCGTGAATGGTAAAGTAATGAAGAAGTTTTTTCTACAATATTCTAAAATAATTATTCTTAGGTATATGCATGCGAATGGTCAAATTATGGCTTACGAAATGAATTTAGATGATGTTAATCCACCGGTAATTGCTTGGTCAGCATGGCGTGTTTATAAAATGTCTGCTGTTTCGGTTAAAGAACGAGATCGAGATTTTTTAACAAGTGTCTTTCTCAAGTTATTACTCAATTTTAGTTGGTGGATTAATCGAAAAGATCCAACGAATAAAAATCTTTTTAGTGGTGGATTTATGGGTTTAGATAATATTGGAGTATTTGATCGAACTGAAGAATTACCTGAAGGAATGACAATGAATCAATCAGATGGAACATCATGGATAGCGTTTTTTGCTGTAGTAATGTTGCAAATATCTCTTGAATTATCAGGTGGACAAGATGGATATCCAGTTAATGATGCTTTTCAAGATATATCTTCAAAATTTGTTGAACATTTTGTGGATATTATTCATGCTATCAATACTTTTGGTGGAGCTAAAACTGGATGTAAAGTTTTGTTTTGTTTTTTTCTTAACTTTTCAGTTGAATATTTTGTATTTCAGTATGGGATGATGAAGATGGATTTTATTATGATCAAGTGAAATATGCCAATGGTGACGTAAAACATTTGAAAGGTAATTCTTTTTTTTTATTTTTCATTATTTATTTTTAAAGAAAACTTTTAGTTCGTTCTTTCGTTGGTCTCATTCCACTTTTGGCAGTTTCTGTCATTGAATCACAGAGAATGGATATGTTACCTGGATTTAAAAAACGATTTTCATATTTTCTTCGACATAAGAATAATGGTCCTCGTCAACATATTCTTGAAAAGGAGTCAACGAAAAATAAAAATGGATTAACTTATCTATTAACAATTCCAAATGAAGAACAATTACGACGAATACTAAAATATCTTCTTGATGAAAATGAATTTCTTTCTGAATATGGATTACGATCACTTTCAAAATATCATGAAAAACATCCATTTACTTTCAATTTTGATGGAGAAGAGGAAAAGAAAGTTATTTATGTACCGGCTGAATCAGTATGTGGGATGTATGGTGGGAATTCGAATTGGCGAGGTCCTATATGGTTATGTATAAATTATTTATTAGTCGAAGCTCTTGAAAGGTTTGTCTAAAATAGTGGTGATGCTTGATACTATGAAATTTTGAATTGTTTAATATTCATCTAGATATCATCGATTTTATGGTGATTCATGGAAAGTTGAATGTCCAACACGAAGTGGACAAATGATGACATTACTTGAAGTTTCTCGAGAAATAACTCGTCGACTTACAAAACTTTTTCTACGCGATGATCAAGGAAGAAGACCATGTCTTGGAGATGATCATCGTTTTCAAAAAGATCCACATTGGCGAGATCTCCTTCTTTTTCATGAATATTTTCATGGAGATACTGGACAAGGATTAGGTGCAAGTCATCAAACTGGATGGACTGCTTTGATTATTCGACATATTGAAGATATGGCTTCACTTAGAACTGAAAATGAACAGAAAGAACGATAAACTTGTTATATTGTTTTATTCTTTTGTTTTTGTTGTACACAACTATTGTTATTAATTTTATTTACTAAACTTATACAAATAAACTAGCAGTATCATTTGTTTTCTAATGATTCATTGAAATAAATATTAAACTTAAAGACGATCGAAAAGAAATTTGATAAAAAAACTGTGTAATTACGAGTTATGATAATTTCTGTAGTTTTATTTCAATACACTTCAGCAGCTGGTTTATTTATTAAATAAGTAAAACATCTAATATAAAAAAATGCATGTCTAACGAGTATCTGGTGTGGCATCAACAGCTGGCTTTTCCGAATCACGACCAATAACATCTTTTTGTTTGGGTGGTTTACCAAATGAAACAGATCGAAGTTGATCCATCTGAGCATGTCTTATTCGATTACGTGGTTCCAATTTTACTGGTTTGCCGGTTTCAAGAGATTTTTTAATTGCATAAACTACTCGGACATCCATCAATCCTTCTTCTCCATTTGGTTCTGGTTCAACATTCTTAAGAATACAATCAGAAAAGTATTCAGTTTCACCGCCAAATTGATCAACTTTAGGAAAATTCTTTGTTTTTTCTTCTTCACCTCCTTCACCAAATCGAGTTGTGTATGAAACAGCTTTATCAAAATTGTATGATGGATCGACAATAATTTCACCTAAATATATATCAAATAAATGGAATTGAATAATCACTATTGAAAAGAAAAAATAATAAATACCTTTTGTACCAACAATACGATAATACGTTGTCAATACTGTTGCAAATCCTACAACAAATGATGCTACTCGTTCTTCAGGAAATCTCATATGAACAGAAACTGTATCGTATTCCATTTTTAAATCAGGATGTGAATGTTTGAATCCCATAGCTTGAACTTCAATTGGTTCACTTCCAAACATAGTACGTGAACCATTGATTGGATATGGGCCCATATCTGGAACTGGACCAGAATCAAATCCTATAAAAAAATAAACAAACAAATTATCATTATTTATAAATAATTCTTTCTTTCTTTCGATTTACCATTGAGACCACGATGATTGTCTTCTCGAAGATATTGTGTATGCATCGATGTAAAAACACGTGCTTCACCAAAATCTCCTTTTCGTACACGTTCGAGTACTTCTAAATTTCCTGGATCACAATGAAGACGATAAGCAATCATTAATTTAGCTCCACTTTTCTTTTGAGCAGCGATCATTGCTTCACATTCTTCTTCACTACAACCCATCAATTTTTCACATAATACATGATAACCTGGAGAGAAAATAACATCAAAATAATTCAATTTTTTTATATTATCACTGACCTTTTTCAAGAGCTGGAACAACATGTTTAACATGAAGAAAATTAGGTGTAGCAATGTAAAGAGCATCACATTCATTTGCATCCAACATCTGATCGAATTGATCATATGAATATGATTTTAAATTATATTGTTTTGCCAATTGATCACGTTTTTCTGCATCATCACTACATAGGACAGTCATTACTAAAGAAATCAATTATTTCTATAAGATTAAATTAAATTTAATAAGAAAAAATATTCTACCTGAATTCGATGTTTCTAAAATACCAGGCATGAAAGCACTTTGAGCAATTGATCCTGCTCCAACAACAGCATATCGAATTTTTGGGCCAGATGGTTTTCGACCGATGAGATTATTAACAGCATCTTTGATTTTATCCATTTTATTAATTATATATAATAATCGACGACTATCTAAAGAAATAAATGTTACTATTGACCTCGGAGGAGAATGAATGAAAAAAATGTGTACGTTGCAACATATATATAGACATAAGAGAAACAGAGAAAGAGAGAAAAAGAAAGAACCTATTGATCTACACGTGTCAGCATCACGTTTTCCTCCAATAAGGAAAATATACAGAGTCACCGAGTGGTAGTCAGATATATCGATATATTAAAATTAACTTGAGGGTGGATGAAGCGACGAGTGTCATCTTCAAGATCTCCACACCCTCAAGATAACACATCGTTCAAACTTGGAATAAATGCATGAAAAATAAAGTGTTTTTCTTCTATGAAATTTGATTGTTAAGAGAATTTAATTTTATCATAGATATTCTCTTTAATATAATATTATCATATATTCGATGAAGAAATAAACGCAAAAAAATGTATCCCGATTGATCGCATTGAACTCTTCCTTTGTCCTTTTCTTTTCTGCTCTCTGAAAGTACAGTTAGTAATTAACGTGCTCGAACACGTGACTCGATGGAAATAGATAATATATATAGGTGTCTGAGATATATCATTTATTCGATTATTTTCTCGTATTGTAAAAATGAAATTTTCATTATTTGCTCCAACAATTGATGATGTTAAACTTATATTAGATGATAAAGAGATTGATATGGATAAACAATCTGATGGACGATTTATATGTACTGTTGATAATATATTCAATGGTGATCATAAATATAAATTTCGAATAAAAAAAAAGAATGGATTTGGTCGAACTCAATTGATATAATTGATCCTTATGCAACTAAATATAATCTTAAAGAGAAATGTGCATTATTTCGAAGTGAAAATGGAAAAGAATATCATGAAGAATTTCATTGGAAATATGATCAAATAAAATTACCTGAAAATAAACAATTAGTTTTATATGAAATGTTCGTTCAAGATTTTGCTGATAATGGACAATTTTCTGGTGTTATTAACAAATTAGATTATCTTGTTGAATTAGGAATTAATGCTATTGAATTAACACCAATTATGGGTAAATAGATAGATCGATAAAATATTCATTGTAAACAAATAATATGATTTCTTTAGGAATAGAAGAAGCAGAAAATGATACTTGGGGTTATTTACCAAGTCATTTCTTTTCTATTAGATCATCATACGGAACTAAAAATGATTTAAAATTACTTGTTGATGAATGTCATTCGAGAAAAATACGTGTATTTATTGATTGTGTTTTTCTTTTAGATTAACATATTTCTTTATTTAATTAATTATTTTTCTCATTAGTATTATAAAGGAAAACATCATCCTGATGGTAATTGAAAGATGTTTTATTTTTTTATTTGTAAAGATTGGTTTTTTTTATTAAAGATCCATATAATTGGGGACCAGAATTAAATTATGACTTTCAAGATCAACAATTAAAAGTTGAACCAGCGGTGAAATTTATTAGTGATGTTGTCAAATATTGGTTTGAAGAATTTCATCTCGATGGAATTAGATTTGATGCAGGTTTGACAAAAAAAACTCATATTCATTAAATTGAAACTCTTCATTGATTAAATTTCATATTTAGATAAGATATATTTTTGATTTTGTTTTAGCAAAACAAATGGATAATTTTGAAATACTTGGTAGATTAGATCGTCTAGCTCGTTCAATTCGTTCAGATCAACTATTTTTATCTCAAGCTGAATATGTTCCAGAAAACAAAGATATATGTAAAGAAAATGGTGGTCCAGTTGATGTTTGTTGGTCAGCATCATTTCATCATTGGTTAACAGGTTTTCTTACTTTAAATAAAGATCAAATGACTAAACATGGAACTTTAAGTGATTTAAAATATTCATTTTCATCAAAAAATCTTGTTAATTATTTATCTTGTCATGATAATGAAAGATTACTTCATGATATTGGAAAAAAAGATTCAGATGCATTTATTCGAATGGAAACAGCAGTTATTCATTTATTTACATCTGTTGGAATACCAATGATTTGGCAAGGAGAAGAACTTGGAGAAGATAGACAAATTGATGTTTTAAAAGATAAAAAGTTATTTTAATCAATATATAAAATTTTCTCTTAACAAAATTTCTTTTTTATTTAGAAAACATTATCCAATGCCATGGAATTTTCTTCAAAAAGATTTTAATCGTCGTCTTTTTAATTTATTTCAAAATTTAATTAAACTTCGTCGTTCAAATAAAGATCTACAAGAAGGACCAATTAATTTCTTTTTTGAAGATGAAAATAATCGAATACTTGCTTATTCTCGTGGTTTAAATTTAATTATTATCACAAATTTTGATCAAAAACCTAAATTGAAATATATTATTTCAAATCTTCCTCAACAAGGAAAATGGATTGATTATCTTACTAATGAACAAGTTGATGTTGATCAAGTTAATAATTTAACATTGACCTTATTACCATTTCAATCAAGATTATTTATTAAACATATTTAATAAGCACTTTTTCTTTCGTTTTTGTAAAATAAATAAACAGTTGACTAAAACTACACTCTTTATTAAAAAATTGTATAAAAATGAGATGGAGACATATTTTTCATTTATTTTTTAATGATATTATAGAAGTTTAATAATAACATTTTCATCTCGATGTTGTAATAATAATTCTCCTTTAAATGTTAAATAATGATATTTTCTTGCTCGAAGTAATGTTCCAACTAGTTTACTTGAAATATCAACATAAATCTAAAATAAGAAATAGAATTATATATATTCATTTATTTATTTTTTCGATATACATTAAATAATTGTCCAAATGTTATTTCCATTGTTCCGTCAATCGTATTCTTTTTTCCACATTGTCGAATAACATTACATAAATATTTCACTTCTTCGATAGCATCATTAACATCATGATCAAAATTATGATGACGTACTTTTCGTCCACCAGTAGCTGGCCGAGCATATCTAATATTCGTCTTATTTCTTTCTATCAATTAAATAAAAACTTTTACGTACAATGAATCTTCATTAGTAATAGACCATTCAATTGCTGGTTTGGATAACGCTTCAGCTTTCTCAAGAAATTGTGCAGCTCGATCTGGTACTCCACCTTGAGATGCACCGAACAGATGTTTTTGTACTGGAGAGGATTTTTTCATCGTCGTTGTCTTTTCTCTTTCTTCTGATGTTGATTTCCAATGTAAATGAGGAAGTATATTTCTTATACAAAGATATATATATACACATAAACATATGCTAGTTGCGTTCTTCACGTGGTCGGTACACGTGTGTTACATAGAGTATTAGCGACATTTTTCATTCATTGTTAATGTTTGTTTTGAGGGCATCAGATATGTCACTAAGAAGTGGACACGAGAAAAAAAGAAGAGAAGAAAAACAACTTATTTATTTTTATCATTTTATCAATTCGTTATTTGAAGGATTATTTCGAAGCTCAAAAAGATGTAGATGTGAATATGAACGTCGATACTATTGCATTTTTTTAATAGTTTATCAATATGAAAATTTAAGATAATTTTAAGTCTGTATATATTTATTTTGATTAATTATATTGGTAATTTCGAGGTTCTACACCAGTAGAAATCGATAAAAGAGTGACTAAACTAAGAATTATAAATGTATTATATAGACAATATTAAAAGATTTTTTTGGTTAAATAAAAAAAAACGAAAGTCTTTTATACTCTATACATTTATCGATTATATTCAATGATGTTGATTAGTACCATGACTAGATGATCCACTTCCAGCTTGACCATGAGAACCAGTAGTACCTGAACTTCCTCCATGACCAGATGATCCACCAACAGTTTGTCCTTGAGATCCGCTATTGGTATTATCTAGAAGAATGGAAATATGAGAAAGATGTATCTTTGTAACAAAAGTATATTTGATCTGAGTTATTTAAAAGAAAATGTCTTTATTCATACTTGTATCATTGGGTCCTCCATGTTCTTGAGTATTAGATTCTCCTATATTCTTCGATTGTCCTGTAGTTCCAGCTCCTCCAGTTGAACTTTCTGTAGATGAAGAACTTGCATGTTGAGTTGTGCCATGAGCAGAACTTTTTTGATTATTAGATGAAGACATTTTTAATAGGTAACTGAGATAAGTAAAATGTAATATATGTTCGAAAGAGTGAGAAATGTTCCTTTATATAGTATTGAAAAGACGAGCCTGTTAAACATGATTGTAGTAATGAGAAACGTTGTTTACACTTATTGGAGTGAAAGGGAAAAAGAACATAATACATCGACGAAATTTGTCGGTTATGTTTCATTTGTAGATACTATTATTAAGTACGATTTGTTCTTCTAAATAATATCTTTTTTTGAGTAAATATTCGATACATTGATCAAATTTCGAATGATGTTCAATGAATGTTTTCAATTAAATTTGTCAATTGAAAAGAAAATATTTATATCGATTTTGATTCTTTAAAAATAAAAATAATTAAAAGACAATTGCGTCTTTCTTTTTGTACTTAAAAGTATTATATTTCTCTGATAAGAATATTAAAAGAAGAACATTGAAAATATATTTCTCGAAAGAAAAATTGATCTATTTGTATTATTTTAAGAATAAGATATATTTCATTCGAAATCCAACTCTCTTCATTGAAATAAAACTGCAAATATAATCTGTGCTTGAATAGAATAAAATAAAATATGAAAATGAAATAAATGTCTGGAATTGTTTAAACTTGATTATTTGTTTTCTTTCTCCTAGAGAAGAGTCCAGTAAACACAAATTGTTTGCTTGATTGATTGCTTGCTTGTGTGTCCGCAGGGTAAAAAAAACATCGAAAATCAATTTTTCACGATTTTCATTTGTTTTTTTCAGTAAATTCATATAGTGATAACGATTTTCTTATAAAGTTCTAATTTATTGCATTCTCTTCTTGAACGATAATATAATTGATAATACCTAGTTTATTTTATCTATCAACAAATATTTGGTAATTTTGTAATATATCATTATTTTCTTTATTAAAGATTCAACATAAGAAGAGCAGTCTATCTTTATTTTACTTTGAAAAAGTAAAGTAAACTTATCATATTTTCAATATTGAAAATAAAGTAAGATCAAGGCAATCAAATCATATATTGTATAAATTCATAAAAGAAAATACACACTTCAGTGTTACCTATTTTTTATATTAATTGTAGGACAGAACAATATTCAAAAAGCTTTAAAAGCTTTTAAAATTATTTAATCAGGACCCTGAACTAAAAATATTTCAAAAATCGAATAAGTAGTATTTCAATTTTTATCACTTAACTTTACTATACCCAATAAAGCGAAGATAAAGTATTATCTCTGGCTCACTATTGAAAGGATACGGGTAAGTTTATAATAAAAGTTACATGCACGCACATACCCACACTCATATTCTGTATTTTTAAGTACCAAAACAAGATTGAAAGATTTATTTGTTTCTGTTTTCTATCATACATCAAACAGTAAAGCTGTCATTTATCATTTATTTCTTTAACTCTTTTTTCTCTCAAATCATAATAACTATATGGTCAATATTTCCATCTTGATATTACTTTGCATAAGTTATTCCAAGTAGTATTTAAAAAAATTTATGAAAACAGAAATAAGTCATGCGCCAGTATTGTTTTGTCAGTGTGGGTGTGTCTGAAATATAATATTCAAATCCACACCCACTGATCACTTACACCGTTTTATACGAAGAATCAAGAAACTCATTAATTTAATAGAATAAGGAAATGTGCTTTTATTCAAGTATATAAATAGGTTTTAATAAAATTCTGAAGCAACTATTACAATATTACTGAATTAGAGCCCTGCAGGTTACGCCAGTAGCAGGGCAGGGCAGAGGAAAGTAATGAAAATGTTGATAGGGCAGGTTGCAGGGTACAAAGATCGTAACCTGTCAATCTGCGACAAATTTTGCACAATAAATACTATTGACATCTTTTATAAAATTATACAAAATATTAAATCCAAATGTTGTAGACGATATGTTAATGATTTGAAATTTTCGAGATATGTGATATTGTTTTTGTTTATTTGTTTACTTTATAATTTGAAATAGCCTGAATAAAATTGTACAACAAATTGATATGAAACTTGAAGATTTTTTTATAATGTGAAACAGAGAAGGATAGTGTAACGGAAAATCAGTAAAGTATATAAATAATGAATAAATATCTTTTATTGAATAAATAAAAAGCAGAATATAATAACAAGTAATAACACAAATGCTTCTGATTCCTTCTTTAATGATCTTATGGTTCAGACTCTATTCCGTCTTCGAGTCTTCCAATACAATTCAGGCTAATTCTTTAATCATTACGTTGAGTCCAACCTTCAGCTCCAGTGTATGTGTTAAGACTGACTATATCTAATACAGAAAGCAAGAGTAAAAGAAATAGAACAAGCGAAAGATACAGAATACAAGAAAGATAAATGTGATAAAGCAAGGGGGGTTATTGGAAAGAATGTTCATCTATGTACTTGGCACAGATAGGTTAAAGATTACGAAAATCTTTATAGGACAGGACAGGGCAGGTTGCAGGTTGTCAAAATCTTAGAAAGGCAGACTACAAGTTGTCAAAGTGTCTGGCCCAACAGGCCTCTGTACTGAATATGTAGTGTTCATTTTCAAGATCAGCCACAATTTGATAAGAAAACACCTATATTGCCTGCATTATAGTTTCCGGCAATGATGTCGAGGTTGCCATCCGCATTGACGTCGGCTACGCTCACAGAATAGGGTTCCGAACCAGCGCCAGTTGAATAAGTCACTTGAGCAGCAAACGTACCATTACCCATGTTGAGGAGAACACCGAAATTATTTGCCCAATAGTTCGCAACAACAATGTCAGCATAGCTGTCACCATTAATATCACCTGTGGTTACATAATACGGATAAGAGTCAGGGCCAGTTGAATAGGTGACTTGAGCAACGAACGTGCCGTTACCTGTGTTTAGGAGAACACCGACGTTGAATGTATTGTAGTTTCCGACAATAATATCGAGTTTGCTGTCTCCATTGGCATCAACGACAACGACAGCGTTCGGTCCAGAACCATTGCCGGTTGAATAAGTGACTTGTGCACCAAACGTGCCATTGCCTTTGTTGAAGAGGACACCGACGTTGTTTGAACCGGCGTTTGTGACAATAATATCGAGTTTGCCGTCTCCATTGAGATCACCTGTTTTTACAGGCCACGGACCAGTACCAACTGGATATGTTACTTGAGCACCAAACGTACCAGAACCTGTATTGAGAAAAACAGCGATTTCGTTTAAAGCGCTGTATGTGGCAATAATATCGGATTTGTTATCTCCATTGACATCAACTGCTATCAAAGAATGCAGCTGAGAACCAGTGCTGATTGAATAAGTGACTTCAGTACGAAACGTACCATTGCCTGCGTTAAGGAGAACACCGATATTGTATGAAGCGGCGTTTCCAACGATAATGTCGAGTTTGCTGTCCCCATTGACATCGGCTATTGCTAGCCCCCACGTATCATGAGTAGTACCAGTTGGATAGATCACTTGTGCAAGAAACGTGCCATTGCCTGCGTTGAGAAGGACACTGACTCCGCCTGTTCCGTAATTTATGACAATAATGTCCGGCTTGCCGTCTCCATTGACATCCGCTGTTGTCAAAGGATACGGTCCAGAGCCAACACCAGTTGAATATGTTACTTGTGTCGGAAATCTATTGATGCATGGAGCTATAACGAAAAAACAATTGTTATTAGCTTCTGTCTAATTAGGAAGAATAACTATATCAGAGCTTTTTATTGCTTGTGATAAATTTCTTTCTGCCATCACCGGCGTAAAGCGAATGGCGACGGTGATACCGTAGGCCATGGAAAATTTTCATTTTTTACTACAAAACTAAAGACTTTTTCTCTCTTCCAATACAGCTTCCACTATGGGACCTCTCATCTGAGTACGAAGATGCACTCTTGAACCTAGACTACTTCCCAGTAGCTTTGTTCCAAAGCAAGATAGTCTTGAGGGTGGGTGTGGGTGCTGGTGAGAGTGTCTTCTTCTTCTATATAACCACATCTAGCTTGCGTATATTTATACTTAATTTTTCTTTCTTATCAAAAATTCTAACAGGAACCACCGGAGAACAGAGGTCGGGGAAGCGACTGCCAGGAAGAGAACTAGAGATCTGCGGGACAGTCCCGAATCCCGAAAGTGCTGTCCTGTGGGACAATCGGGACGGGACAGACGGGACGGTACAGTATAGAAAAAATAGAAATCCCGAAATTCTTTTTGATCCGTATACTAAAATATGCCTGAGACTTGAACGTTTTTCTATTTGTTATTAGAACGATTGAAGGAAATGTTGGTTTATCCAACAATCATATGAATACATGTATTTTAGCTTATTGATGTTACAACGAAGATGTTTTTGCGTTTCTGTCACAGAGTAACATCTGTATATTTTTTGGTCATCAGGGCCGACGGGATTTGACGGGACAATTCGAAAAATTCGGAACGGGACGATCGGGTATATTTGAAAAAGCTTTGGGACGAAACACTGGGATCAGGACAATAAAAAAGTTTGTCCCTCAGATCTCTAAAGAGAACCTATCGTGGATTCATCCAAAACGTTTACGGATAAAACACGTTCTCTTTAGTTATGCATCTAGGTTAGGAAGATCCACTAGGGAAAACTGAAACTTCAAAATTAAGTCATTCGAACAAATAATTGATTAAACACCTATATAAGGCACTGCAAATCATCTAACATAATACTGACTAGTGGTTGTTGATGCAGTTGTCGATGTTGTTGTTGTTGACGTTGTTGATGC